TTCCCTTACTTTATCATTTCACGAGATGATGGTAGCTCAAGAGGATCTTTGCGGATCGCTACCAACGTCTCCGTCTTCTATTTTCTTCTTTTAACTAAACTTTGTGAACACAAAACACAAAACGAAAAAAAAAAGACAAAAATAACAAAAATTCAACTTTAAAAACTGCAAATTACGAAACAAAAAAATCGGCTTTTAGCTTTTAACACCTTCTCTTCTCTGTCTTTTTCCTTCTCTCACTATCTGGCCCATTATGTGTTATTCTGGTTCCCGATATCTGAAACGGCACCGAAGGAGGCCCTGCTGCAGAAACGGTCACCTTCGGAAGCCATTGGAAAACGTCATCGGAGGATCGCCGCTCGCCAGGACACCCGAGATCCAGCAAGACAGGAGCTCGCCAGTACAGGCTCGCCGCCCTATGATGCTGTGGACGGGCGCCGCCTGCCTGGACGCCGCAGACTCAGTCAAACTCCAGGAGCTCATTAGTGCAGGTATCAGCCGCCCTACGATGTTGAAGAGGACGCTTCCTGCCGGACGCCCGTAGATCCTGACGACGATTACGAGGACGTCTGCACGAGCGCGCAGCCGAGAAGGACCTGGACGGAGATCTGCGAGACGTGCATTGGGCGAATAAGCCGCCGAGTTGGACCTGTGCGCGGAAGACGAGGATGTCTGGACGAGGACCGTGCGAGACCAATCGAGGACGTGAGGATGTCGAGGACGAACGGATTCCCAGGGACCAGAACGAGGACGACGACACAGAACGAGCAGCCACGGAGATACACCAAGGATACCGCACCCGAGATCGAGGACGAGCAAGTTGGAACCAGCCAAGTTGGGTTACCCTTGAGGAAGTCTAGATCGCCACGAGGACGAGGCGAGGGTAGGTGGCAGAGCGGTGTGAGATTCAACATCTGGACTGACCTCCTCCCAGGTGGCCTACGCCCTGGGCGCCGCTGACCTGACCTGACCTGACCTCCCCAAGAAATAGGACTCCAGAAGGGCTAACTTTTGACCATTCCCAGGCCCTTGGGGCCAGCTGCAGGGAGCCACACCCTGGGCAGGAAATAGGGAGGCCACGCCCACGCGAAGGTCGGGCATTGGCAGTTTCTTTAGCCACGCCCCTGTAGCTCCGCCCCTGGCTTCCAATCACCGCTACTTATTCTCCAAGGATGGCCCTGTCAGACAGGAGGGTGTGACGAGAGTGTGCCGCGGGTCGTTCGAGGTCATACCTGCCCGCTGGGCTGGGCTTCCCGCATGACCCCAAGCGACCAGCAATAACCCAAGACTGTCATCGTGTGTGTTTATTCTCTGTGTGCTAACTCTATCAATAAAAGAGTTTTTAGCCACTTAAGCTTTTACTACTTCCCTGTTACCAATGTATAGAGGTGTTTATAATAACTCTTACAGTGGTGGCTGCGGTGGTAGTTGCATCCTTTCGGCATGCAACCGATAAGCTCCTCCGAAGACAAACCGCTCGGCTTCGAAAAACGCAAGATGGCATCTTCAAAAACCGTGAGTACACATTTATGGGCCCCTTCTCTTTCATTTCTTTTCTATTTTCCCTAAATGTGTTAAGCCATGTACAGCGATGCGTTAGTTTTTTGGGTTAAAGTGCTAAGTATAGCAATGACATACTCTCATTCTCATTTCTCATTTTCTTGACCTCACTTCTAATTACTGTAAATCGCGGTATGGAGTTAAGCAGTATGAAATCGTTCATTTATTAAGCGTCTATTTGATTTCTTTTCGTGATTAAATTATATTGTTTCAATCATGCGAATTTAGCGCGTTCGTGAATTTA